GGCTGAGGTACGACCTCCATGTTGGACACTCGGTCGCGGTGTGCTTGGCGCGTCAGGATGTAATCGAGGCACCTACGTTCGCGTCCCGACGGGCCGTTGAACGTATGCCATATCCCGCTCCTCCGTGTGTCGAAGAAGGTGTTGAGGACCACTCTACATGAATATTAAACCAATACGAAGTACAACAACATATGAAGGACTTATTTCTCTACTGTCACTTACATAGTAAAAATATCTCCTCTTCAATTTGAAATACAACCAATCAATAACAATCCTCACGGTATCCTACATGCGTTCGTAAGCTTGCTAAAATTCTACTGCGTTGATGTCCTCTTGTAAAAAAAGCTGAAATCCAACAAATGCTTTGATCCATGCTGCATCTCCGTGTTGGAACTTGCGTATTGAGAGCCGGTCTTATCCAAGAAATCGGTTCCCGACTTCACTTACTTCCCGATTTGATTATAAGACCACAAGATCCAAAGAACTCTCTTGTTGATTGGCTAAAAGTTCTGAAACCCGTGGAATCTGTAGGACTTATAATCAGATCCCCCCTCTTCAAATCGGGAATAAAAAAAAAAGGTAAAATGATTTAATCGGATCTCGATTTGGGTGAAACGAAACCAACTTCGAACATTAGCGGTCTACTCGCACGTACGGCGCATGCCCACCTACCCCCATCCACACGAACCCCATCCACCGCCGAGCACGGAGGAGAGAGAGAGCACATAAAGCCAACCGAAAGGGAGGGTGACTGCGCATCGTTGTTGCACGTGACTGGCGCCGAAAAAAAACGTGTGTGGGATGAACTGGTCTGTGGGGCAATCTCCCGTGGATTGTCGAACCTCAAATGCTCAGACAAATCGGTAGCTTTCTGTTTGACGAGGCTCGATTCAGAGTCTCACATGCATAGACGTCGTGTCAGTACCCCACGCAGGCCATGTACGCGTTTGGTGTGTGCATCTCGGGAGCGATAGCTCCTCATGTGGTGTGGCCACGTCATGACAGACGTTACAACAGCAACTTGGCAGTCGGCAAGCGGCGGACCTCTCGGGTTGTTCGCGGTGGACTGCAGATATTCGTTTCCATCTGGCAGATCTCCCGTTAAGACACACAGGCCATTTCAGGTCGGATTCAGGTAGATCCGCCTCTTGTATTCTTATAATCAAATTCGAAATCGGGAACCGATTTCCTGGTCAAGACCGGCTCTGATCTCACAGATCAAAATACTTCATTTAGGAAAGGGGAACCGGGAAATGGTTGAAACCATGTTGCAAAGCTGTAGACATATCGATTTCTGGAATCAATCGCGGTAAAATACTTAAAGCAATTTAAATGCGCCTTCAACAGCCCCTGCTGTAGCAAATGCGCCTCCAACAACAGCCCCTGCTGTAGCAAATGCGCCTCCAACAACAGCCTCTGCTGTAGCAGTTTCAAACCCATCAGAACACCAAATCAATTGCTGTCAGTGCCTCTAGAATCAATCATGGACACAATCCATCCCGCCCCCCATAATGAATGGTCGATGCAACGAACAATAATAGAAATTAATTTCAATTAAAACAATCAACAGCCATAGCAGTGCAGGCTACCAGGCTATTATTGCTGTAAAAAAATGGAACACCGCTGGCATACCACGTAATGGCCACTGAACCAAACAGCAGGGTTGCCCTGTTTCCTGCAACAAACCGCATAACAAACGCCAAGAAAAAAATTCAAGCCAAAGCCATGCCACACATTCAATCATTGATCAATTCCAAAAGAAGAAAAAATGCGAAGTTGGCGTCTTGTTTGAGAGTAGATGTGACAGATTTGCGTAGAATTGGGTAAGATGTGATCATGAACTGAGAAGAAAGGGCTTTTCCAACACGGAGATGTAGCATGGATTAAAGCATTTGTTGGATTTCAGCTTTTACAAGAGGACATCAACGCAGTAGTA